TTAGCGGACAATAAAACTCAAGTTTCACACCCATTATTTTATATTTTTATATCTTAAACCAACGTAGAATACAGGTTCACTAAGGTTGGCTTAAACTTCGAACATCTTCATTTTGTTTTGTCCACATAATATATATTTAATATTATTTTATATATAATATTATTAATGCAAATACGAACATGAAAACGTACGTTGTATAGTATATATACAACGCGGTTTCCTGTTCTTAATTTGTTTGCTTCTTGATTGATTGATCGATCTGCCTTCGTTTGTAAGGATTTAAAATCCAACAAGAAGTTACACATGCATGCATACAGAAGAGAAGCCGGTGTATAGGGAGGGGGGCCATGGCCCCCCTCAAATTTTAATTTTTTTTTTTACTACTAATATGTACAAGTAGAATAAAGAAGTTCCATGGGCAAATCCAACCTTGGGAAGTGGGAAGTGAAGGGCTCTGTAATAAATCATTGTATTACGCCTTTATATTATTAAGTCCACCATTTTTTTTTAATTGTTTAGTGTATCTAAATTTCAAATAAATGAAAAAATAAGTATTAAGTTTTTCTTTATCTAGGTTTTATAAAAAAAATCCGTTTTTTTTTTGTTTTTCCGGAGGCTCTGCCCCCGAACCCCAAATAATTAAGTTCACAATGTAGCAACATCTCCTCCTCCTCCTAAAAAAAATATAGAAACATCTTATTTTCACCAATATGTATTGCTTTCATTAATTTTTTTACGTTATTTTTAATACATATTCGGGCCCCCAATGGTGAAATTTTGACTATGTCACTGCATGCATCGTTTTATTAATTAAATTAAATTGATTGTTTTATGGGATGCGATAAACGTCGTTCAGGTTTTAATAATACCGTTTCGACTTCAAATGTGATTTTAATCATTTTTTATTCCAAATTTGGCAAAACCCGAAAAATAGGATTTGTAGTATTATGAGTTAGGTTTCTAATCCAACTTGAATCACCAAAATTGGATGTCGGACGAGAAAGATATACATAAATCAATGGATACTGCCCACAACTTTAATGTATTGGGTATCTAAAATTCAAATTTTGACTCATTCATGCATAACTTTGTCACACGGCATCCAATCGAACGGATTAAGTTGGATTAGAAAGTTAACCCAAAAGGATCGGACTACAGTTTTCGTGTTTCGAATTTCGCAAAAATCAAAATAGAAATATATCAAAATCAACTTCGAAGTCAAAACGAAAATTGAAACGACATTTAACATTTCAGTTCTTTTATTCGGACTGATAATTAACTGATTAAAATAATCTTATTTGATTCCCATGTTATGCTGTTTTTGGCTGGTTTTGTTGGGTTTGTGCTTATCAAGAAATTCTTTGCAGCTGTAACAAATATATGTGCCTTTTTTTTTTTTTTAATTTAATTAAAAACTCATATTGTATTATGAAAAATCATTGATATACTATGAGTTTTTGGAAATATTAAGGTGGGGTTTAGCCCTACATTAATTACCTAAGGCTTATCCGTAATTTTTGTAATTCACTTAAAGCTCGCTAATATAACGATTTTTTTAACTCCATCGAAAAATCATTAATTATGTTATAAATAGAAATTCAAGAATCACAAAATGTATAATACGGGAAGTTAGATGCTACAACTGGTTCTTTACATTGGCTGGATTTGATTCTAACCGTTGATTTGATTAAATAGCTACTAACTAAGCACACATACACACAACAATATGTGTAATTATAAGTAGATCTACGATTTAAATCCACTCAATGTAAATAACCAGGTATAATATCTAACTCCCTGCATAATACGGCTAATTGATCATCAACAATAGTACAATTTTTTCGATTGTACTATTGTTCAATTGCAATTCCTAAATTCTTGCTGCGGAGTGGAAACCTCCCATGTGCTAATGTATGCACTATGACCTCACTAAATCAAATAATTCTATAATTTATCAGACTAATTTGGACTTTGTCCTTTTTCTTATGTCTTGTATATGGGATCATTAATAACAAAACCTGTTTTATTTATACCCTTATTAATATAATATTGCATTACACGTGGAACAAGAAATCGTTGTTCTATTTGATATAGTTCGAAATTCGACCCATATTTTCTAGATCGAGCAAATCACACATGTTTTTATTTATCGTGTGATTTATATATGTCGTTAATTTGTGAGTTGTTGACTTAATTATTGCACAAGTACTAATTAAATTTAACCATTCAATGGTTTTCGTTGCCTTCGGCTCGGGGTCTACTCGGTGACTGAAGTGAGAATGGTTAGGGATTGTGAATGGGGGTGTTTGAGTGACGCCGGTCCTTAACCAATGATGGAAATGAGACGGTTGTTGGTGTTCGTCGGGCACCGTCAATGGTTTTCTGGTCGGCAGTGGATCGAGTGATTTATGAAGTTGCTTGTATTATGCTCGTGGGGGCATGTTTGAACGATGAGGTTTATGTTGTTTGTCCAATACTACGCATCTTGCATTAGATTTGGGCGGACGATGACGATGATGTGCCTTCTCGGCCCACCTCGAGATGAGTCGGGCCACTTCTAGATGAGTGATTACCCTAGCCAATAAAAATAAAAATGGTGGAATTAATATAAATAAGAACAAGGGATAGTTGATTGGCTCTGGCCCACAGGCCGTCGAATCAACCCACTCATTATTCAACTCTCAAAAATAAATTAGATCAATCATCATATACTGTTTAGTATCAATAATTATTTGGAATTGTGAATTTATCACTAATTATAAGTATACGACAAATTTGTGACATTATATCGTATTTCTGCATACAATAGTTCTCTGCAGTTCATTATAATATTAATGATTTTAGTACTGTAAATGGATTTTTCCGCGAAGTTGTATATTATATATACAACATGATAAATTAATAATCTTGTTTAAAATATATATAATAATTTCTCCAGGTCCTGAATTGGTAAAAAAAATATGAAATTATTAGTTCGATTAGTTAATATTGTACTAAATTAATAGAATTTTGCTCGTTTCTACTGTATTAATTTATTTATAGATGTTTAACTACAGTTGTTATGTAGTACTAGGGCTTCTTCCGAACCAATTTTGTCTTAGCTAATTAATTGCATTAAATGAAAAGTCACATATATCTCCAGGTTATAACCACTTATAAATTGGTATATATGTGAAGTCCTAAGACATACATTACATATACAGGTGGGCTATATATATTTACATAATGCTTAATTAAATTGGTATAGCTAGGTTGTGAGATAATTGAGCATGTCACGAGGATTGTTCAGATCTCATTTTTAAAACTTTAATTCATGACCCTATTTTGTTTTATTAGTCAACCATTGTGTTTGTATATACATAAATTTATAATCTAATTTTTTTTTATTGATAAAAAGCTCATAATTATTCAAAATATACCGAGTAGACTTCACCTCGTACACTAGTTTGCAAACTGCATCTACTCATACTAGGTTAATTATGTGTGATGATCTCGATCTAGAAATTAAATTGACAATAGAGTTTGAACGTAACTCAGTTAAAATTCCATAGAAGACTCTTGCTCCAACAACTAGGTAACTGAATGGTGAAAAGGAAATGTGAAATATATATATGTTTAATTATTAGAAGTCTTTGTTTTGTAGGTTTCTGCACATTAACTATAATAAAATTAAATTAAAATAATTGTTTATTTTATTTTTTGTTGTGATTAGGCAAGAGGAGGAACAACACACAATTGCAAAATTAAAGTTGTCCGATCCAAAAGTGGGATATATATGTAGGTGGGTATGTGGTGTGCCCTAAAAGAGCAACCCAAATGTTTGGTCGCTGTCCATGTTCATATGCATTCTACTTTAATTAATTTATTTATTTAATTTTCTCCATGTTATACATATACATATATTATATATATATAGGGTTGGTAGGTTACCACTTTTGTCAACTTTACTAGGATTTCTAAGGTACTTACTTCCACTTTTGCAACAAATGGAAACTTTCATACATTTCCCATATTACTTTTTCACTTTTTATTTATTTATGTCTCTAATTAATCGAGTCCTTATTCTTTAGTGTGCAGAATAATCTCAACTAATGGGCTCAAAGCAATTAATTAATCTGGAATAGATGGGCTCAATATTAATTATCTCAGGCCCAATAAAGTCATTTTACCTTTATAATTAGACCATTAGTCTTGCCCAGGCCCACTCTTTTAAAACAAAACGACACCGTTTCGGCCGTCTAATTCAACATCTGTAGTCTGAGAGGAATGGGATTTGTTCTGGCAATTATTTCATTTTAGGTGTGAGAGAGATAAGTTGAGATTATTACAAGAGTAAATTAGTGGAGACAGACATATTAGATAACAAGATGAGAATAAATTAAATGATGTTGATGATAAGTTCATCAAACAAGATTGGTACATAGTTAATACACATTTTCTGCCAAACAAGTGCTATAAAAAAAATGCAATCTTATAGCAGCGATTTATTGTATATCACTCATCACACATAAACAACATGGACAAGCAATTCCAGATAGTCACCTTATTATTGGTGTTACTGCTCGTTTCTGGTACTTTGGTCTCTCTCTCTCTCTCTCTCTCTCTCTCTCTCTCTCTCTCTCTCTCTCTCTCTCTCTCTCTCTCTCTCTCTCTCTCTCTCTCTCTCTCTCTCTCTCTCTCTCTCTCTCTCTCTCTCTCTCTCTCTCTCTCTCTCTCTCTCTCTCTCTCTCTCTCTCTCTCTCTCTCTCTCTCTCTCTCTCTCTCTCTCTCTCTCTCTCTCTCTGAGTAATATTATGGTTTGATGATTTAAAACATATATATGTGCAGAAGTAGTTAATGTGGAGGGCAGAAAAAACTGCGATCACGGATCGCAATCAAAGTGTTTTCCGAAGGAGAAATGCGATCCCCGTATTTGTGCAATCTTATGCAGTCGCAGTGAGGAATACGAATGTGATGATTACGGATGTGTTTGTTGGTGGGGCTGCCGCAACTCCACCACCACTCATCACCACCCACAACCACCACCAAAACCACTTCTCTCCTCCTACATGCAACATCTTATTTGTATGTAATTTATCCATGCATTTTATTATTAATTATTTGTGAAACAATGCAACATGTATTACGTACTATATGTCCTGTAATTTGAAATTGCAGCCAATTAAATAAATTTCTCTTGTTCATCTGCTATTCTCTACACATTAGTTTGCCTTGTAATTAAACACATAATATATATATATATATATATATATATATATATATATATATATATATATATATATATATATATAAACAGTAAAACGGAATAACTAATAATCAGATCAATTAATAAAGGGAACACTGAAATGTATTATCAGTAACAAACATTATATATCTTCTCATCATATTAATATTAAAATTAATATTACGCGATCGCTTGCAATTCATAATATAATTATATATTATTACAAACCAGTAGAGTATTATATAAAGAAAGCTTAATATAATTACATGAAATGAAAATATAGCAGTGGTTCTAGCTAGTAATTACTTATTAAGAGAACCTTATTGCACAGTAGACAAGTACTTATTAATGCTGATCAGTCCTCAAGCACACGATCTTCCGATGTTTCCCCAATTTCAGCCCGACCATGAGATGCTTTGCGAAGGAAGATGGCATCCGCGTTTTTGCTGCTACAGTAAAGACATGGATGCTGCGGATTATCTTTCTTGTTCCCCAAAATACCCCTGGCCATGATAACCAATTTCTTGTTGGTAATAGGGGCAGGGTGCCCCTTGAGAATTGCTACGATAGCTTTAGTAAAAGCACCACCTGCAGGACCATTTTTATCTGCAGGTTCGTCAACCGTTTTCTCACTAGGCTCACCGCCGCTCAATAGAATTCCTTGGTCAGCTTTCATTATCGGCAGAGGATTTTGACCAGTACTCTGTTGGAACATGATGCTGACTTCCGATCCGAACAATTGGATCAAGTGTGCACCTATGTCCGGATCGTTCAGTCCTGTCGTAGACGACAAGTTTGCCATGTAGGACTCATAAGGAATCATTTTAGGTGTATTCTCACCACCACATGTCTCGTTATGTGGAACAATGTACGGTAGCCCAACCTGCACTGGTTCTTCGTCAATGAGTCCACCGCTGAAGCACGAGTCAGCCATTATAGTGAAAGTTGCCTTTTCGGGCAAACGGCTCACGCAGTACCTAAAGTCCATGCCTGAAAATTTTATATTAATGCAAAAACAATTATTATTATTAAAACAGAGAAAAAATAAATTAATGATTTAATTATAATAAATAACAACACTTACATGTAATGAGATTGCGATCACAAGTGACGATGGCTTGCTTTGACTCTCCGTTGTCACAAAGGGGCATTCCATGGCCAGAGAAGTAAAAGAACAGCCTGTCTCCCTCGTCAGCATCTTCGATCATTTTCTCCAGTTGTTTTATGATATTCGCAGCAGTCGGCATATTTTTGCTTCCGGGCGTGTCCACCATAACCAAGATTCTTTTCGGATCGAAATGGAATCTCTTAATCAGTGTGTTATGCATGTTATACGCGTCGTTATGGCATCCTTTCAGCTTAGTTATCGGATATGGATAGTTGTTGCAGCCCACTAGGATAGCCTTCTTCGCCACCTCTGTATTACTCACGGGTTTTTTCTCCGTCTCCATCGGAAAATTGATCGAACGAACTTTGTTTTGAGAGAATTATTTAATAAGTGGGATTAATTAACTACTTGGTATTGACTTGAGAAGTTGTGATCCAATTGATGATCACTTTGCATCTATTTATAATGTTTATGTGTTTTGCACAATTAAGCTTATCTTTTTTCTAACAAAAATTAAGAAAATAATAAACACAAAATTAAATATCTTCAACGTGGTGAAAAGAATATGCCTTGCTTAGTTTTCTTAATTAATTCACTTGATTTGCATCCATTTTTGTTGTGTTTTTCTGAACAGTAATTAACGCCTGGCTGGTTAATTAAGACAATTCTTCAACCTAAAGTTACTACTCAAAACATTAAGCTATGTATATGTAATAATATGCTTTTCCTTGCCAACTGAAATTTCTCAAAACGATTATTAGTTGCATTACTGTTAGACTTCAAATTCAATTCATACCAAAATTTATTAAAAGACCACTTTTTTATATATATTCTGCGTAATTAGGAAATTAATTTTTAATTTAATTCGTACCAACATTTACTATAGACCAACCAAATGTGTTTAGCATATTTAACTTTAATATATCTAATTGATCACTTTACAACTCATTAATTCACACTTCTGCTATCTTATCAAAAAAAAAAATTCACACTTCTGCTAAACTTTAATAAATTCTGAGGAATTATTGACCATATATATGCAAGTCAGTTGGACCACACCTCAAATTTGTATTTACATTGGACTGGGCTAATCACTACCAACCTAGAATATATTTTTCGATAAAAGGCCGAGAATTGAATTGGGCCTTGTCTAAAAAACCTTTTGTCAACTTTAAAAAATGTGGAATCAGATAACAAATGTGCTTTCCACGTGTCAATTTGTGGTTATTTGATGAATTAGCATTAACGGTAGATAAGGCCTTATATATTCTCACATTATGACACGTGGAGTGACCGTATTTTAAGTCCACTGGGCTAAGAGACTGTTACTACAATTTTGCAATGTTTTGAAAACCGGACCTGACCGGCCGGTTCGATCGGTTCAACCGCGAACCGGTGCCTTGTCCGGTCCGGTTAGCACTATAAACCCGAAAATCACAAAAAACCGGTCGAATTGTCAAAAATTGGTTTTTTGACCGGTCCGACCGTAAACCCGGAAACTGGCTAAAAACCGGTTTTTGGCTGACACACATGTTTTTAATTAATTCAAAAATAAAAACCTCAAAACGACGTCGTTTGTGCACAGAGGAAAAAAAAAAAGCAAAAAAGGAAGTTAAAATGTGGAATTTTTTTCCCTGTATCACAAGAAATCAATTGCAATTTGATTTATGCCCTAACTAATAGCCTAATACAACTCAACAACTCAAAAACTAAACAACAGTAGGTTTTAATCTTAAAAAAATATCGTAAGACTTTAGTTTTATTGTTTTTTACATACATTTACTATTTACTTTAAATATTTGATTTTGATGTGAGACTTATTTTAAATGTTTTCTTTAAGAGTAAGACTTGAGTTTTATTTATTTTTTTATCAGTAGAACGTAAGAGTTTAAATTAAATGTTCACTTAATTTATAAGATGATTATGATTTATGTTGGGGATCACTATTTCAAATACTAATTTTTGCTTACTTGAATACCAAAAAAATAAAAAATAAATAATTAATTGTAAATTACTTTAATACCCTTAATGAAAATTAAAACCAAAAAATATTACAAATATTATTTTTCTTTCTTAAAAACCAAATAATCAAAAACCTAATAAACATTTCCCTCCTCACTCACAAACCCCTCACCTCCTCCACCTCCTTCTTCTCCCTCCCCAAAAACCCTCCTAAAAAACCCCAAAACAAAAGAAATCAAAACCTTACACAACTTGCAAAATGGCCTCAAATGACAATAGAATGGTAGTTTACGAGCAAGGAGAACCCATTCAGGTATGTATTCATGTATTTTTTGAGCTAAAACATCGATTTTGAATTTTTTTTTTTTTTAAACTCGCCATGTATTTTCGACACATACAGGTCGAAAATACCCTTATTTTTCGACACTTAAGTGTCGAAAATATGGGTAATTTTCGACACTTAAGTGTCGATTTGGTTCCTGTTGCAAATTTACTTGTCTTATATTTTCGACACTTTTGTGTAGATCGATTGCACCCATTCATTTACCACGTCAGAAAAATTCCCAACAAAAGAAGCTTTAATGGCATGGGTTCGTGAAGTATGTAAAAGAATTGGAATGGTGTTAATGATTGGGGGTTCGAGTGACGGGGATAGAGGACGTAGGACACCGTATGTGATTGTTCGTTGTGAGCGTGGGGGCCATTATGTTGGCAAGAAGGTACCAGGTGAAGATGATCAAAGACCGGGAAAAAGGAGCACCGGTTCAAAGAAATGCAATTGTCCGTTTAAATTGAAGGGGACAAGAGAACACAAGGATGATGAAAAGGCTGAGTGGAAATTGGATGTTAGTTGTGGTATTCACAACCACAACTTATTCGAAAACTTGCACGGACACTCTTATGCCGGAAGATTATCAAAGGAGGATGTTTCCTTTGTTCACACTATGAAGAAAGCAATGGTGAAACCAAGGGCAATTCTAAGAGCATTGAAGCAAAAGGACCCGTCTAATGTAACTGGTATGAAGACAGTTTACAATACTATCTCTAAGTTAAATTTCAGTGAATTGGATGGGAGATCTCAATTGCAATCATTGTTCGTCAAGTTGAAAGAAGATGAATACCTCTCGTACCATAGATCGAACGAGTTGAATGCAATTACCGACTTGTTTTGGATCCACCCGAAATGCATTAAGTTGGCACAGTCGTATCCGTACGTATTCGTCATCGATTGCACGTACAAGACCAATCGTTACGGACTCCCATTTCTTGAGATTGTGGGTTTTACTTGTACCAACAAGACGTTCTCAATTGCCTTTGCATACTTGGACCACGAAAAGACGGAAATTTTTGAATGGGCGTTGCGTTGTTTGAAGGAGGCCATGACCAGTTGTCCTCGGCCTAATTGCATTGTAACAGATCGAGATTTGGGTTTAATGAAAGCAGTGGCCAATGTGTATCCATCGAGTCATCACTTGCTGTGTCGGTGGCATGTGAACAAGAATATAGTGGCCAATTGTAAGAAATTGTTCCCAAAGGACATCACCAAATGGAAGCAATTTCAGTCGAGTTTTTCGGCTCTTATTGAAAGAAATACCATAGAGGAGTTCAATGAGGATTGGGAGGATTTGAAAAGAACATTTATGGGTTATCTCCCGGCTATAGAGTATGTAGCTAATTCATGGTTGGATCCGTACAAGGAGAGACTTGTATCGGTGTGGACAAATAAGTATACTCATTTTGGAACGTACACTTGTAATAGGGTGGAGGGGGCACACGGACGAATGAAAAGGGATGTGCGTAATTCAACTGGCACATTTGTGGATTTGTATACGAAAGTCCACAATCAAATTGTCGAACAACACAATGACATCAAGGCTTCCTTTGAAGTAAGTAAAAATACTTACGAGCACACTTTCAAAACGTTGATATACAATGAGCTTCGTGGAAGTATCTCAAAATACGCTCTGCAACTACTCAAAGTTGAGGTGGACAATGCGAAACTATTGCAACCGAGCGATATGGGTTGTAGTTGCGCCATCCGAACAACCCACAGTCTACCATGTCACCATGAACTTCATGAGTATATTGTTGTGAACAAATGTCCTATCCCACTTGAGTTAATAGGCTCGTATTGGAAACACATGAGTATGGAGCCCGTCGCGACCACAGGCCAAGTCATCCTACCAACCATCGACGAAGATTATCGGATACCAGAGCTCTTTGAAAAAACAAGTAAATCAAATAAAATCCATCTAACAACATCCATCTAAAAAAATACAAGACTAATCCTGTGTTTTTTTCTTCCTACTAAACACGCGTTTCACACCCGCCTGTGGGGCATCGGACGAGCTCGATGGCGGTGGAATTGGCCCTATCGAGCTACCTGGAGGTGGTGGTGGGGGCATCCGACGAGCTCGAAGAAGGTGGAAGTGGGGCATCCGGCTCGATCAATCTGACAATATCATTTAGGGTCCCCCACATGACCGTATGAGCGTCGGATGGCGCAAGTCCCCGCACCTCGCTAAGTGTACCCTTCACCAACTCCAAAATTTGTGAAAGTTGGACCTCCTTATCGGTACCACCCTCTGGACGAGCTTCATGGGGTCGAGGTCGATCCGCCTGGGGTCGAGGTGGATGGGCTCCATGCCTACTCAGTTGTAACATGCATCTCGGTCGGAACCAATTCATGTAGTCCGGCGAAGTGTCCGCCTCCCCGAGTTCAATTTCAACGGACCTCGACTCCTCGTCCAGACAATACTCCTCCCACCGATCAGAGAATCGTTCGCCGTACGCAACGAAAATTGAGTTCTGGACCGGTCGACCTTTGCTAACTAGAGCTTTGTACATATCTTTTGACATGTATGCACGACCTGGAATGATTTGCACCCGGTTGAACTGCCTCAACACTCTGTCCGGATGATATGCCTCGAAGTGGTCCATGCAACATATCATCCCACTAAACCAAGCAGAATCTGGCATCGGGAAACGATCACGAATAGCCGTATACGGTGACCATAAAACCTAGTAAAATAAATAAAAAATTAGATTTAAAAACCTACTTAAGTAGTAATAACAAATTATTAAACTGGTATGTTACCTGATCGGGGATCAAATCATCTAATCGAGATCGCAGGTACGACGCTCGTTCAGGCGTTGAAGTAGTCTTTGACTGAGGCTCCCATCGGCTCGCTAATGGCCCCTCGAATTCCGTCTTCAATGTGCCACCCGCCAAATAAGGAAAGTGCTCGTAAATCCATGACTGAAAGAGCGTCAGCCAGCCAGCCATCGAGTTCGTTGATTTTTGTGAGGCTGAGGAAAGCTTATCGTACAACCGGCAAAGACATGCAGTGCCCCAAGCATACTCGCCGATCCGATCCAAATCAGATACAAGATTTAGGTACTCAACGCTTACCATGTTGCCTGTCTTGTCGCACAGTATAGTACACCCGAGCAAAAATAACAAATACGCCCGAATGGCGTATGTCCTCTTCTCCGCACTATCTCTCATGGTCACTTTGCTAAATTTAGCCTTCAACCATTCCAACTTGACCGCTTTCTTCTTGTTTACATCGTCCGGGTACTCACCTAGCAACTCGAACATTAAAGTACTGGGGATCGTTTTGGAATCACGGACCAAACGCTCGCAAGATACGGTACGCCCAACAACTGGCAAACCGACCAACGTACTCACATCGTCAAGTGTGATGGTCATCTCTCCAACAGGTAAGTGAAATGTGTTGGTAGCTGGCTGCCATCTCTCTATGAAGGCTCTAAGTAGATGGCCGTCCACAGTATTGTACGATGCCTGTACAACTGACATTAAACCACATCTTTGTACTACCTCTGTAATAAACGGCGCCGGCTCCCAACCTTTCAAAGTTCCTGTGTGATTTCGTATTCGAAATTCTGAGCCGCGCTCCGAACGATCTGGCCCTCCGTTCACAATATGATAAGCAATGTGCTTATCAAATTTTGTGTACAATTCCGGTATCTCGGGACCTCGGACCGGTTCGTTGCTCGAATCACCAACTTCTACAGTCGAAGGTAGAGCCGGCACCGGATTCGTTGACGAAGAACCCTCTCCAGACTTCTTCTTGGTTGTGGTCTTTTTCTTGGTCGTGACTGCTATGCCCTTGCCTCTATCGGATTCCTTCCTCTTCTTACGGTTCGAAACAGTCGGAGGTATACGAGGTTCACGTGGTTCTTCCACTGCAAAATAACACACAAATAAAAATTAATATACATAATATAAACACAAGCAAATAAAAATAGGAAAAAAAAAAAAAAAAAAAAATTTCACAGTTCAAATTCGACAGCTAGCTGTCGAATTACCAAAATTCCAAATTCAACAATTTCACCATTTTCGACATCTACATGTCGATTTTTGATGAATTTTCGACATCAACCTGTCGAAAATTCATCGAAAATCGACATATACAGGTCGAAAATGGTGAACGAATAACCGACCCACGAATCTCAAATCAATGCTCAAATCGACTGAAATCAAATGCACCCATTACTAATTAACGATCATTCTAACCTAAAACAACCAAATCCTAATTACCCATATCAAACAATCAAATCTTAAATAAATATTAAAGAAAAAAAATCGAAACAACTATAACTTACTATTCGAAGACGACGACGGCGGCGGCTTTGGGCGACGTTGGGCGGCGTTCGGCGGTGTTTGGCGTCGGCGTCCGGCGGCGGCGATGGTTGGAGCGGCGGCGGCGGCGTCGGGCGGCGTGGGAGGGGTGGACGGAGGGAGGTTTTTTTGTGTTTGAATTTTTTTTTCTTTTTTTTTATTTGGTTTTCAAATAGGTAATTTCAAAGAAAAATTGATGTAATTAGTATTTTGTATGAAAGGGTATTTTTGTACTTTTATTTTTATTTTGGTATTAAAGTAAGAAAAAACTTATAAATATGTACTCAATTGTGGTTTTCAACTTGGTAGTATTCAACAAAGCAAAAATTAGTATTCAAAATAGTTGCCCCCTTTATGTTGCATGTTATTTTATGGTTTGTTTGTAGTGCTACTTGTAGTTTTATACTTAACTCATAGGAATATTTGATATTGGTGATAAACATTCAATTTTTACGTATTTTCTTGCATAAATAATACCATATAAATTAAATATAAATAAATAAAAAATAAATAATTCAAAAACCCGGTTGAACCCCGGTTGATCGGTCCAACCGTGACCCGATAGCTTGGCCGGGTCAATGTCCGGTTCGATTTTCGGAACATTGCAATTTTGTACACAGTTGTCGATATATTTGTCCAAACTTAACCAAAGTACTAAAGAAAATTGAAATATAAAATTGCAAATAAAGAGTAGTACCTAGAATTTTAAATAAGATATTTGAAATAAATAATATTTTGGAGTCTTGAGTAATATAATTAATATTTCGAAAGGGACCAAAATTGCAAATAATAAAATCTATTGGGACCAAAATGCAAAATCTAGTGTGTATAAACATATTCCATTTCTTTTTAATTATATATTTCATCTATTGTGTGTTATATTGCATCTATATTCTATTGTGTGCACAAAGGAATGATTAGAGATAATTACAAGATAATAATAAATTAAATTCATCTTATTCCGTAAATGATAAATAAAGTTGAAGTTCATCAACAAGATGGGTACATAATTAATAATGCACATTTTAATTATCTGCCAAGAAAATACTATATATAAAAAAACAACATGAAATTTTATAGCAACCATTGTATCACTCATCACAAAGAAATGGATAAGCAATTCCAGATTGTCACCTTATTATTGGTGTTACTATTCGTCTCTGGTACTGCTCTCTCTCTCTCTCTCTCTCTCTCTCTCTCTCTCTCTCTCTCTAGGCAATATTATGGTTTGATGATTGAAAACATATATATATGCAGGAGGAGTAGTAGTTGATGTGGATGGCAGAAAAAACTGCGACCACGGAGCGGCATCAAAGTGTTTTCCGAAGGAGAAATGCGATCCCCGTATTTGTGCAATCATATGCAGTCGCAGTGAGGATTATGAATGTGATCGCAGATGCATTTGTTGGTGGGGTTGCCGCAACTCCACCACCACACTCACTCATCACCGCCCACCTCCACCACCACCACCACCACCTATTCTTTCCTCCAGCTTTCAGCGTGTAGTTTGTATGTAATTAATCCATGCATTAATGATATTATTACTTTTAAAGATTGCAATATGTTCTATATGCCCTGTTTGAGATTATATTGCAGCAACTTGTGCCAGTTAAATAATAATTAATTTCTCTTGTATGTTCATCTGCTATTCTCTACACTAGTTTGCCTTGTAAACAAACACATATATAATATAAACAAAAAGCAAAAATGATATAAAATGGAATAACTAATCAGAGATCAATCAATAATTAAGGAACACTGAAATGTATTTATTAGTAATAAACACATATGCACTCATCATATTAATTAAGTTAAACGTGATAACTTGCAACTCATAATTATATATTACAAACCAGTATAGTATATAAAAAAAGTTTATAACATGAAATGAATGTAGTAGTTGTTGCATCCATTTATAATGTGTATGTGTATGTGTCACCATAAAACTTGGTAAGAGAGAAATATAAGTCCATTTAATTATTTCAGTACAGTTGGGATTATTACAAGAGTAAATTTATTGATGATAAGAAATTACAGATAGAATTGATCACTAGTAAGTAGTGACCATTACAAACCAGTATGGTAATATATAGAGAAATATTAATTAATTAATTAATTATTTTAACATGAAATAAAAAAAAGGAGTGGTTCTAGCTATAAGAGAAACCTTTATTGTAATTAATTATATAGGTATATATAAAAATAGTACTTGTTCATAGATCATTCATTCCTCAAGCACATGACCTTCTTCTGATGTTTGACCAATTTCAGCCTGACCATGGGATGCTTTGCGAAGGAATACGGCATCCGCGTTTTTGTTGCTACAGTAAAGACACGGATGTTGCGGATGATCCTTTCTATTGCCCAAAATACCCCTGGCCCTGATAACCAACTGCTTGTTTGTAATAGGTGCAGAGTGTGCATTGACAATCGCTGCCACAGTTTTAGTAAAAGCCCCACCTGCAGGACCATTACTATCTTCAGGATCGTCAACAGTGTTCTCATTAGGTTCACCGCCGCTCAGTAGAATTCCCTGGTCAGCTTTCAGCGGCTTTGGATGCTCATCTGGAGGCAGGCTGAACAAGATGCTGGCTTCCAAATCGAACAACTGGACCAGGTGAACTCCAATGTCCGGACTGTTTAGCCCTGTCCTGGACGACAGCTGTGCAAGATATGCTTCGTAAGGGAGCTTCCTAGGTTTATAGTTGCTGTCTTCATTATTAATCCTAGGATTGTAGTAGGGTAGCAGCCCAACCTGTACAGGCTCTTGGTCAATAAGTCCACCACTGAAGCACGAATCAGCTATTATAGTCAGCGTTGCATTTTTGGGCAAATGGTTCACATAATGCCTGAAGTCCATACCTGAGAAGCAATCAAATAATTGAATTAATTGTCCAAACAAATTAATTAAACAACCTCGATATATATATATGTATATAGCTGCACATACAAGTAATGTTATTGTCGTCGCAGGCCACTATGGCATGCCGTGTTAGATTCCGATTATGTTTATCAGTGAAAGAAGTCCCATGACCCGAAAAAAAGAAGAAGAGCCTATCTCCTGGTAGGGCTTTGGCAATCATATTACCGAGTTGAATCTTTATATTTTTACCGGTGGCTCTTAGTTTCTTACTCCCTGGTTTGTCCGTCAACACCATAATCGCCTTCGGGTCGAACCCAAATCGGCCAATCAGCATCTTCTTCATCATCTTTACGTCATTAATGCAACCATTGAGCTGGTAAGGCTCCGGGTAGTTTGGATAGAGACACCCCACTAACACGGCCTGCAACCTCACGTCACTCACGATTCTTTTCTCATAATCCATCGGAAATTTTAATTGTGTTTTTCTTTTTTTTTTTTCCTTTTCGTTCTAGTAATAATATATATGTACTTCTCAGAGCTCTTAATTATGGAACTATTTATATGTGTTAATTACAACATCAATATAGTCTTTAGCCGGAAGTTAAGAATTGTATACCTTTCGTTACTAACCCAAATTTCTCGAACGATAATTATACATATCTTTCCTAATCGATTCATGAATTATGTTCTTGATCTATTTTAGGTGATGATGACACACACATCACAGAACATTAATCAAATCAATAAGGAGACTATTCTAATTGACTTTACAACTCATTAATTCACACTTATGGTAAACTTTAATCAAATCAATCCAAATATCATATTATGATTTTGTGTTGTGTTTCTCTTAACAGTAATTAACGCCTGGCTGGTTAATTAAGACAATTCTTTAACCTAAAGTTACTACTGAAAACATTAAGGTATGTATATCTATATATGTACAATAATAATATGCTTTTCCTTTCCAACTGAAATTTCTCAAAATGATTATTAGTTGCATTACTGTTATACTTCAAATTTAATTTCAAATATATATATATATATATATATATATATATATATATATATATATATATATATATATATATATATATATATATATATATATATATATATATATATATATATATATTGTTGTAAAATGGCCTATTTATCTAGCTCTTTGGTTTGTGTTTGTGGAAATACATAAGAATGTAAATAACAAGACAAAGAGAGAAAGAGAGAATGCAAAGAACAAGAATCCGTAGAGAGAAAATTGTGGGATACGTGGGGAGGGAGTGTTTCTCATTAATATAGGTGGTAACCACCGAGAAGTTACAAAGGAGTTACAGGTGGAAGTTACGTAGAAGTTACATTGCCACTAACACCATTATAATAGATATGGGAAGTTAATAAACTCGTGGGAAATGAAAACCGTCAAGTGGTTATGTTAGGAAACCACACATTCCATACTATTTACAACACTCCCCCTTGGGTTCCTATCAAACCACTATTGTGCCTTTTGTGTTGCCTCGTTAAAAACTTCCGAGTCATAAAACCCATTGGGAAAAAAAACAATCTCGGTTAGGGAAAAGAGTACAACGCACAATCTTTTCAATCAACATATATTGCCTCATTAAAACCTTGTCGAGTAACGAAAACCCTGTGGGAAAAATAAACCTCGCACGAAGGAAAAAGAGTACAACAGGGCACCTGGGCATCTTCTGGATACTGAGTATCAACAGGGTACTCCCCCTCAAGTTAACTCCCCCTGATGTCTACAAGGGAGCGAGTTCGTATAATCTACGCAAGCCTTAACATGGTTTTTCAAAGTACTTTTAGGCGAAGACTTAGTAAATGAGTTTGCGTAATTATCTTGAATCATGATCTGCTGGATCATTATTGTTTGAACTTTTATTTGTTGATTGAAGAAAACCTCATAACTATGTTCTTGGAGTTGTCACATTTAATGAAGCTTGTCTTCATTTGCTCAATGCAGTTAAGTACAATCTCTTAGGATCTTTTGTGGTAGCCAATTTACAGAAATCTCGAACATGCATAATCATGGCTTCAGGCCATGTGCATTCACTCACTATCTCGTGAAGCAAACATCATGCATGATTTGACCTAGTGACATCTAAGGTACATTTCATAGAACCCCAAGATATAGTTGTTTTCCCAATACTAAACCATGGATTGGGAATGAACTTTGTGTGGATATGACTTCTAGTCAATACCAATATAAACCACAAGTTTTGCATCATTCATTGATGTATAGGGCGTGTCGGTAAGGTGAGATAAGTCTACCTAATAAATTACCGAAAACGCTAAATCATATCGAGTACATGGAGTTAAGCATAATATTAATGCATATATTGCATTTACATATGGCACTTCTGGTGCTAACACTTCCTCGTCCTTCTCCATGGGACGAAATGAATTATTGGACCTATATCGCTGTCAAACTCCCATAGGTGTTACTCGATAATTTCTCTTTATCCATAACATCTTCTAGATGTTATTCGATTGATGGACAAAAATTCAATTGACATGATAAGTTTTAAGTCGGTCGAGAGTCTTCTTTAGATCTTTGATCTTGAACTCAAATTTTCAACAATTTAGTTTTTCTTACTTGACTTCTAGTCTAAATCAAGTTTATGTCTTTAATATAAATTGTAGTAATATGAACAATCAAAACCAATTATTGTTCACCTATTCTCTTCCGAGCAATTGTTCACTTAGGCAATTGTCCTATATTCTTCTGGAATATTTCTAGTCATAATTAAAGTGAACGTCTCAGCCTAACTGAGTTTATGTTCCGTGACTGGAACTAATTGCTTCGGGAAATCGAAGTCCTTCTGGAACTTTCATATATATACTTGTATCTAGATTCCAATTAGATACTTTGTGACCACATATTCAATAACATTCATCATGAGAGAGTATACCTCTTTAAAATCAATCTTGGGTTGCTAAGGAAATCTTGAATTATGAGATGAGTCTTCGAGCTCCCAATCTCATTTGCCCATAAATCATTATACTATGAGATGAGTCTTCTGGCTCCAAATATCGTTCGAGCTATGAGATGAGTCTTCTGGCTCCCAATCTCGTTTAAGCTATGAGATGAATCTTCTGGTTCCCAATCTCATTTGAGCTATGAGATGAATCTTCTGGTTCCCAATCTCATTTGAGATATGAGATGAATCTTCTGGTTCCCAATCTCATTTCATTGATTGAGCTATGAGATGAGTCTCCTTGCTCCCAATCTCGTTTAAGCTATGAGATGAATCTTCTGGTTCCCAATCTCATTTCATTCATTAAGCTATGAGATGAGTCTCCTGGCTCCCAATCTCGTTTAAGCTATGAGATGAATCTTCAGGTTCCCAATCTCATTTCATTCCTTGAGCTATGAGATGAGCTTAATGGCTCCCAATCTCGTTTGAGGTATGAGATGAGCTTTTTGGCTCCCAATCTCGTTTCTTTTCTTTGTGAGTACTCACTTATATCTCATGGGTGAAATTCAAGGAGTTGTAGGAACTACTGGTCTCTACACTCTTCATTTTATCAAGGAATCAAATTCAGCTTGGATTGATTTCGGCCATCATCCATTTGTTTACACTTATCAATTGATCAAGGTTTTATATCATCACTTGTTAAAATATTCAGTAGCTACTGTGTAGAAAAGTTTATCATCGATGATCATTTCATCCCAATACCACATCTCGTTCATGCATGAATAACTAATCGAGTTTTTACTATTCACGGGAATGGATATTAATGTCGAGGCGTCCCCCGACTTCGTCTGCAGGACGAATCCATAGTCCGGAATTATTTTTATGAGATGGATCAGGTGGGATCCCATTTATACTAGTGCTAAACGGATTCAATTATTGGCAATTCATCCACTTCCGGGGGTGAGAATCATTTGGTCCCATTGCGCTCCCCCTCTCCTAGGAAGGGAGGCAAGACAAGTTAGCATGGATTGATGGCCTACCCATAATTGTCCTTCTAGGACATCTATTCTTGCAGGCTTATTTGAGATCTCATCACTTTTTCAAACCATAGAATGAGTCTGGCATTATTCGCCATACACGACTGCACGCTGTTCTTCAGGAACATTAGTGTTGACATTCTTTGCAGATTTAGTAGTCGTCCCACATGACTTCACACCGTTCTTCAGGAACGTTAGTGTGGATGATCTATTAATCTATATATCAATTCTTTGAAGTAGGGGATCTTGATGAGACACGGTGGGGTCGTCTCACACGACTTCACGCCGTTCTTCAGGAACGTTAGTGTAGACGTTCTTTCCTCCCCCTAACGGCGGGAAGACAATCTCATCAAAGTGACAGTCCGCAATTTGAGCGGGTAAGAGATTGCCTGTCTAAGGTTCTAAATTTAAGTTATAGATGGTGATACATATTTCACATATATCTTCTTAGATTACCTCCAAGAAAGGAATTGAATCATTATATGTATGTGCGTATGCTGACATATAATCAAATTACTTGATATCGAGCAATCGACAACTTATGCTTCTGGCATTCAAATTGTGGTTCTACCTAACCGTGTCGAAAATACCTCTAATTTTCCCAATGTACGCTTCTAGCCGTACACGTTAGAGATGATGCACATATATTCGATTTCTTGTCTTCAATGGTTTCAACATAATAACCATTAGCTCAAATATCTTTAAAGTTTAACAACGTTCTACTGGAACGTGGAGAAAAAAATGAGCTACTTCAATTGGCAAATTTGTGCCATTAGATAATATAATACGGACATTACCATAACCATCTATCAAAATAACATCGGCCTCATTTAGTTATCAAAGAGGTCTTTGCTACTATTAGACATGAAATTAATAAAAATACGACTTATCTCTAAGGATAGTATGTGTAGTCGCACTATCTGCCAGACATTTATCCCTACATGTCATGTCTAGAACGTTATATATTATAATCACATATTTTCAGTACTTCAGGTACTAAATTAATTCATCAAGCAAACACCATTGAATAACATAATAATTAACTTAGAGCATAAATATCTGGTCTAGAGCATAAACTAGACATAATCAAAATATGAATATGGTTCCTAACATGAGCATATGAAGTAAGATGATTGAAATTCAATAAACTAATAAACCCGAGTAATATAATAAACATAATTCATGAAATCAACAGTTCAATCATATCCCAACATGTGTTATTTGGTCAGATGTGCCCAAGTATGGAGGCTGAGTGACGGGCTATACATAGAAAATATTTGCCTCTACCAACTCAGTCTATGCTGGTGCATTATTATTTGCATCTCCAACCCCAACGTTCCTCGCACTTCAGGTGCGCGACCAATTCTTAGATCCACCATATATAAAACATATGTTCTGATTTTGAGCTCTATTCGGATTTTAAAATTCATATACAAATCGTTTATGAATTCACTTGTTCCTTGCTTCCGGCAAGTATATTGTCTTTTGGTAATAAAAATGACTAGTCAGGTTATCCCATTCTTTATGGGAACCCATCGTTTGATGAATAGTCCAGACGAAGGATTTCATCTAATTATCTCGTAATCAGAACATAGTCTCAGCCTTCTGGGCTTTACCTAATAAATTATCCTCGAAAACAATCATTCTCAATCGGCCACTAAGCGTATGGATCTTAACATCCATTCTCCAACTAATATAACTTTCATCAAATAAATTAAGTTGGGTAAACTTGAGTTTGCTCATGTGTTTGATCTCAAATCAAATACAATAAGGAGTATTATTGTTTTATGGGAATATAACCTCCATAAACAATTTCATGAATATATTGCACATATTAGAACTTCTGGTCTAATAATTCATAAACCACATGTTCATACACATTCATGGATTACATACGATAAACCATAACAACGAACGAAATATTTTTTACCTTTTTCATATCACAAAATTACATATGACAGATGGATCAATTGAATGGAATTTTCCATTAGAGATTGACCAAAATCTTCATGCAATTAAGACTTTGTAAACCGTCAAATATATAAAATATA